TTTTTTCATATATAAAAAAAGATTTACAGTAATTTAAACAATTGTCGCAAAACGATCGTCATTCTGGGAACACACTCTCCCCGGCATGTTGCCTTTCAAAGGATCAGGAGTGAAAGTGGATTTGCAAGGAAACAGAAAAGGAGTACAGAAAGCTCTGGAAAATCGCAACACACCAACCCCTCATGTAATGTCGTCTTAAGTCTTTTTTTAAAAAATAAAAAAAAAAAAAAAAAACCAGATACTTTTCTCCAACCACAATGGATGGCAGTCCCCTCCTCTGCGGGCAGAGCTATGCTGCAGTGCTGAACTGTCCATTTGTGTTTGAAAGCACCACCAGCTGCAGGCAGGGGACAGAAACATGTACCAGCCAGACAGTCAATGACTTGACTGCTTTACACTGGAGGAGGAAGAGGAGGAGGAGGAGGAGGAGGAGACAGCCTAAGAACAGCACCTTGATTAAAGCTATAGTTTCAGTGGAATTGTATACAAGGTGTACTTGATCATTGCCCTAACATTCCTCACGCATGTACACAAGCCTGACTGCGAGGGCCTACCATTCCTCACAAACATGCACACACCTGTCCGTGAAGCCCTAACACTGATCACACACGCACATCCATCTGTGAGGCCCTAACATTCCTTATGCACATGTTCACACCTATCGGTTAGGCACAGGAAACAGTATTTTGGAACCACAGGGAGTCTGATAGGGCAGGTTGTGTGTGTGTGTGTGTGTGCGCGAAAAACATCATGCCCTGGTGGCAAGTTGAAAACAAGGATGCAGCCACCACCACCAAAAAAAACACCACATAAAACACAATATATCCCTTTCCTTAGTAATGCAGTACAAGTAGTTTGTTTGCGCCTGACCATTTCAAATAGCACTTAACACTTACTGTTCAGTCACTGATGGTCACAAAGTTGCATGACCTGGGAGGGCTAAGGAGGATTGGTGAATTGGTGATTCACTCTTGCAGCTTCAGAAACAAGTCAGGGCTCAGTTGAACAGACCAGACACGCTGATTGGCCCCGAGTCCTTATTCCTCAAAAGGTGACTATACCACCCCTCTTATGGACCCGTGTATGTTATGGATTTCACAGCAAATTTTCATTCCCCAGCACTCTGGTGGTGGTGTTCATACACCCACTCACTCTGCTGACAGCCACTGTAACTTGTTTTACCATAGCCCCTGTAGATCCTGGGGGCAGCCAACATAAAACAGGAATCAAACCCAGGTCTAAACCATGGGGGACAAAGCTGTTCCAGTCAGCAGGGATTAGGTGAAACAGGAGTTTGGTTCACATCAGTATCCAAAAGGTGTGGGTACCTTCACAAGCTCAGTCAATACAGGGCCAGCCTGACATGCATGATTAGAGTAAGCACCAAATCACATGATACTAAAGAGCATTAACATCACTGCTGACTTCTCTCCCTTTTTTTTCCAGAAACAGAGATAAAAAGCTGTTCAAAGGGAGATCATGTGTCATAATCGCCCCTCCCCCCACCATCAAAAATAGCTTGCAGGGGGCAGGCAATGGTAACAGCCCCAAAAACAGAGATTACAAACACTCATATCTAAGGAGCTGACTGGTGACGAACACTCCCACCTTCTGACCCTACTCCCATGCTGGTGACGCGCAGGACAGAACACACAAACACACATGCAGACTGAACAAGCACAGCTCTCGTCCCTCAGTAAGAATTAGATGGATGGGTGTTGCTATTCCCCCCCCCAAAGGATTATTCAGGGGCCTCATAGTACAGGGAGGGTGAAGCTCAATTTGCATCTTGCTAACAAGTAACACAATGCAATTCCAACATAATGAGGAATCATGCACAGCCAGCTACTGCAAATTACTCTATAATTTTTAGCATTTAGCGGAACTACTAATGGAAACCAACTCCAGAGTTTGTGGGGCCGTATTCTAGTGTGCCATTCTTATCCAGGCCATGATTTTTCCTTTTGTTTCCTTGCTCTGCCACTTTTCTCCTTGGTGCAGGGGTCAGCATTTGGTTGTATGTCCTTGTCTCTTGATTCATTAAGCCACATTGTTACCTGGGCCTCCTTCACACAAAGTAACATGGCACCTGAAGCACTTCTATCTCCTACACAAGGATCGCTCGCTCGCACGCACGCACGCACGCACGCGTCACATCTGGCAAATTAGTGTCCAGGTGTTGCAATTACACTCTACTTTAGAAACTACTTGTCCTTTGTTTTCTTTCCTAAGAAAAACTAACAGAAAAAGGATCGTACTCAGATCATTTTCCTTCACAAACAGGCGAGGTTTTGGTCACCTCTCTGCTTCATGCCAGCCAGGTCAAATCAAAATATCAGCTAGGATCATATAAACACACCCACTAGTCTTGGATTCAACATGTTCTCCTGCAGTTGTTAGACACCACTAGAGCTCCTATGTACTGAATACAAACCGCTAATAAAAAAAATAAACTATAACATCATGCAATGTTTGGCATTTTCTCAATCCCCTTTTTGGAAATCTCATTTGTTGACCTTTATAAAAAAATATACGATTCTTTTAAGCATTATGAAGCATGGAGTTGAGGAGGGGCTGGAAGAGTGAGCAGGGGAGAGACAGACCAGAACAGTGTGTTTGTGTGTGAGGGTGTGAAGTGAGCAGCAGATGGATGGACATGCCTCAGAGCACTGAAGTGTGTCTCTGTGGATACATGGAACTGATTTAGACAACTGAACTTTCAAAGAAAGGACAGCAGGGAATGCTGGGATACAGGTATCCAATGAGTGGGCCGCATGAGGCAGGCAGGCCAGGGCTCTGTCTCTCACTCCGTTTCTCCGATGCAGCGTTGCATGCGGGGCAGGGCAGGAACACAAACGTGCAGCATGTCGGAGTGGAGGGAGGGGCTTCAAGACAGGGGCTTCAACATCATAGCAGGATACAGCAGCGGCAAAACCTCTGACGGCTGCCCCCAACTGAGGGAGGGGGAGTGACCGGGGCAAAGTAGGCGTGCACCTTGATGTTGGGCAGATGAGTCTGGGGAGAAGAGGCGAGAAAAGCAGGAGGACGAAAGTCAGGCAAACACTGCAAACTGGCAAATGTCTTTGAAGCTCATCTGGGGTAAAAGCATGTGAACGTTACACCATCCTCTATGACCTACATATAAATACACCCAAAAAATACATAGAACACTACCAAGCTAGCAGGTAACATTTGTAGGCTGCCAAAGAATAGCATAAAGCTATCAAATTTAAAAATTTAAGTTAAAATTCTGTGAATATATAATACAGTCGTCCCTCGTTTATCGCGGTTAATCCGTTCCAGACTCTACCGTGTTAAATGAATTTCCACGAAGTAGGATTCTTTATTTCTTTATTATTCGGCTGCACCTGGCGTTGAAGGATTTGCGGGGGTGCTCGAATACACAGGCCTACAGTCCATACGTACAGTAATTTTAATTTTAATACAGAGGTGTATAATTGACTCAGACAACAGAGCGCGCGCATTATCATTTTTACTGTCTATCAACTTTTTAATGAAAAAATGTATTTCAATAAACCGGGATAGAGTAAAGCCACGAAAGTTGAAGCGCGAAATGGCGAGGGACGACAGTAATACATTTAAGCAAAACTGATTTCAACAGGAATTGTCTCTTAGAATCAACACTTGCAGACTGGGCCCACATTATAAGGAAAGGAAGCTACAGCAGGAGACACCCCAACAGCTAATAAAAGCACTGCTGCTTAACAGAGATGCATGCGAGTGCGGCGCCCACCCGGAGCCTCTTAATGCCAGCGCGGGTGATCTGCTGGCAGTCGTAGAGCTCGATGCGGTCCAAGCTGTGGCAGGCCTTCAAGTGCTCCAGCGATGCGTCCGTGATCAGTGGGCAGTTGTCCAGCTCCACCACCTCCAGCCGGTCATGAGCACAGGGCCCACTGCCCAGGTGCCTGATGCCGTCATCTGTGATCAGCTCACAATGGGAAAGGCTCTAAGCAGAGGGGAGTCATAAGTCCAGAGAGCCTCCCTGTCAGACTGTCAATTCATATAAATATGAAAAACACTGGGGGGGGAAAAAACTTCTATAGTAACACAGGCTGTGCTAGCTATTAAAAATATAGTAAAATATGCAGTATAATGAGTAAAGAAATGCATTTTGGAATTTTTTCCATGGCAGTATATTCTGATTGTCCACTAGATGGAGCCCTTGCACTTTGTACTTATTCACCCCACCAAGGTTTAAATAAATAAATAAAAACACAAGCATGTAAGAAAAACAGAGCCCCACTCTGCTCTAAAGCAGCTCTGTCACACAATTGAGGCTTCATTCCAGGTCTGGCCAGAGGTCCTGAGCCTCATTAAGCATTGTCATTAACACTGTTCCCACTAATTGGCTGGCCAGGCTAAGCCAAGGTGGCCCCAACTTACCAGGACCTGCAGATGGGGGCAGTGGATTGACAGCTGTATCAGCGTGCTGTCTGTAATCTGAAAGGAAGATGAGCAGGAGGAGTGCTGTTAGGAATCCTTGAGGCAGTAATGGCCGTAAGAATTCTAGAATCACCCTTGACTACAGGTTTTTTTTTTTTTTTTTTTAAATAACACCACAAAAGCCTGATTTACTAGAGAATGAAATGCTGTGATAAACTATGCCGAGGTGTGTTCCAGGGGCCTCACCTGTACACACTCCTCCAGATCCATCTTTTCTAGCTCGTGGCAGTTCTGAAAGAGGAGGAGATGGCTTTTCAGAAGTGTTAGGAATGTGGCCATTCAGGTTTGACGGCAGAGCATTCACATAGGATCGGCTAGAGGCCCTACAGCAGCAAGCACTGTGCACTCACCCGGGCCAGTGTGGTGAAGCCCACATCGGTGAGCTGGGAGCAACGAGCCACCTCCATTATTCTAAGAGGGGGAAAAAATTGAGTCAGGCAGAGGTCCGTGATCCCAGCCTCACTTTGTGAGGCAGATGGACAGCTCAGTCTGGGTCTATTCAAATACCCTCCTGGAGGGGCAACAAGCCACTTCTCCAGATCCCATTATACCACCGAGAGCTCAGGCGGGTACCTAAGGCGGGGGCAGTTCTGGCCCAGGGCGTTAAGGATAGCATCTGTGATGTTGCCGCAACCGGAAACACAGAGCGACTGCAGTCGGTGGCAGCCACGGCAGATGGTAATCAGGCCTTCGTCTGTGATCTGCTGCTCCCAGTGCAGGGGCGGGGGGTGGGGGGGGAGGCAGACAGACAGTGGGTACGATACTGTCAGCAGCAGGTGGACAACAATGCTGAATGTGAAAAAGATGACAAATAAGACAACAGGATAGCATGAACAGGCTAATAACAGAGTACTGAAAGGAATGGGACTGAAGGATGAAACGAGGAGAAGAAAACATGCATATCATTCACAATGGCTTCACACACAATTAGCCATGTAGGTTATATAGAACCACACCCCCCTCCAACATACAGACACACCATGCCAGCTAAGGGAGGGAGAGACGGAGCAATTAGACTCCAGACCCATGGGGGGGGGGGTTGAATAGAAAAATCTGTTCTGTTTTCATCTTAAACGTTGCAACTTACCGAGCATGTCTGTAGGTTTAGGGTTACCAGCTCAGGACAGTGAGCCCCAATGTACTTCAAGGCTTCATCCTCCAGCTACAGTGGTGATACAAACAAACATGGCAATATGTTTATACCCCAACCAGATGTGCCCTCAAAAGTCATCATGCTGCACATATTCCAACAACTCTACAAGCATTAACCTTCAGTAAGATCAAATCATCAAGCAGACTGACAACCAGGTATATCCTACACAAAATCAGCAAAAAAAAAAAACTGTACCAAAGCTGCAGACATGACCAAAAGGGAGAGTGGAGACTAAAGGGGAGATCAGTGGGGACCAAGTGGCAATCACACCCAGACACCTTCATTCTGAGGAATGTAGCCAGCCAGAGGAGGGACCAGGCATGTTTAGTCACGTTCCGTTTATATATGCCATGTGCATGCTTATGACAGATGAACAAAAACAGAAGTGAACATTATTGAAGTCCAGGGGCCTCATGTATAACGACATGCGTAGAATTCACACTAAAACATGGTGTACGGACAAAACTAGGAATGTGTGTATGCAAGAAAAAATCCAGATGCACAAAACTGCTTAAGCACAGATCTACCCAAATTCCCTTTATAAATCCCAATAAGCGTGAAATTTTACGTACTCGAACGAGCCCACAGCCACCCCCCAACCTGCCCATAATTATTTGCATATGTAAATCTGTATAAATACCCACTTTGTTCTGTTTTTCTTAAACAATGGATAAACCACGTGGTAAAAAAGTATTTCAGCAAGTGCGAAGTGGAGGTCATGTTAACAGAAATCGAGAAAAGTGATATTATTTGGTGGTTTAAGTAGTGGCATCAGTAATAAACGAAAGTTGACGGAGTGGCACAGTCAGTTAAAAGTGTTGGTTCTGAAAATCGCACGGTGGCTGAAATTAAAAAGAAGTGGACGGATTAAATTTGACGTGAAAAAACGAGTCTATCATAATAGTCTTAACAGCACAGGCGGAGGTCGTGGAATTCCCAGAATTCCCGGTTGCTGAAATTATTGGGGACACACTTGTATCGTTTTATTGTTTGAATAAAAAACAAAGTCTTGTCTACATGAAGATGACTAAATGGTGTAGTTGCAACATTCAGTTGGATAAATAAATAAAAGCTAACTCATGCCACTATTTCTGGCTCCTTTCATTGAATATGTAGCAACTTTCATGTGTATGAATGAGCCATTGACACCTGGCCATATCCCTCCCCCCCTTTTATGGCACTGATGGGGATGTATCTGGATCGCGTTTCACTGTTGCGTTGTTCTTCAGATTATCGCGCGAATGTGATTTGAATACGCGCCTCCCCCCTCTGCCTCCTTGGGTGGACGTGCAGCCCTCTGGTGGCAGGAGGCCCGGGTACCTGGCCGCTATGGGGCGGCTGGGTCCAAGATCCCTCGAGGCTCTCCTGGCCATCTGGGGGCCCCGGGGTGGCGTTGTTGTGGCCTCACACACTCATTGGGAATCATTCCATGTTAACCTGCACACTCATACACACACTCACAACACACGAACATACACACATGCGCACACACATACACACACATGTATATATGCGCTCACACACACACGTACATATGCACACCCACCCACATACATTCACACCCACCCACGTACACATAGAACATGCACACACGCACAAGATAGCCCAGGGCTTTCTTGCCCTATTTTATCCCTCTCTCTACTTCTTGTCTGGGTGTGTGTGTGTGGCCTCCAACCTTTCTTCTCAGATGCAGATACTGGTGCGGCACTATCCAGACTGTGTTCCTGTTGGTCTGCTTATGCATTTTTTTCTTTGGTATTAATGTATCTGACCCCTCATTTATTATTTTTTCCTCTTCTTTCTTCTCTTCCCTCTCCTCTTTCTCTCCCTCCTCTCTATCTCTCCTATTTCAGTTAACTTTCCCTGTCGGCTCCGGTTTAATAGCGCAATAATCTAAAACGGTGAATAAAGAGTATATCTCAAGTAACAAGAGGAGCTTAATCTGAAGCTCCATTTGGCAAAATAAAAGTGTTGGCACAATATAGCACCCAGACCTGCTTGCTAAACTGCCGGACATGACAGGGGTATATTAAATTAAAAAAAAAAAAAAAAAAAAAAAAACGCGTTAATGCGGCTATTTAGAATGGGAATAGCAATCTTCGGGTGAGAGCGGTACTACACGCCCCCGATGCAGGTAAAACAAAGTAAGGTGACATGGTTTACTTTTTTGCCGATTTAACCTCACTTTAAAAACTTTAATACTTCCGACAATGAACGTTTTGAAAAGAATAAAGATTACAGATTTAGCCAGCGTTTTTTTTCATGATTTTACATTAAGATTTCAGCGAGATAATCTGAAATGGACGCGAAAAGTATACTGCGTCGCCGACGATGCACTCGACCCCAGAGGGTTAATCTTTGCCTGTTCAACCACAGTGTAAGGAAATTTTATATATCTGGGTGACAAGCGGATTATGCCGTCCCATACAGCTGGCATGGCATGACTTGGTATTGACTGAGAAATACCAGATCGGTCCGCAAGTTCTCGCTGAAAAGCACCTGTAGCTAAGAACCCGAGAGTGGACAGAACTTGTAAAGGAACAGGTATGGCGTAATTCCTCATCGTCTGCCTTTGTAATGCTAGCCCCAGTTCAGCACACAGTTCCAAAAGGATTGCTCTTGGAAATCTGAATTGACTTAGAGGCCAGTCATCATCATGGGCCAAGAAATCACTATGATCCCTGAATACGCGCTCTCTTATAATTCTTCCATAAGCTATGTCTTCCAATAAAACAAGAGCTGCCATGGTAGTTGTAATAGTTCAGTCATTTTCTGCACCATTTTATTGTTACAAATTGATTAAAATTGGGTGCCGTACATTTGTAAACAACATACAATTAATGTCGGTGTATTGGATAAAGCCAGCATCATGACTGTGTATAAATAGGGAAACCACAGTAGCAACGACTTTCCACTGGGTGCCATCCGCTTACAAAACCGAACAGAAACATGCGTATGCTGTGTTTGGAGCTGCCGTGAGAATGTGCATAGCGGTACGCCAAGTTTTGTTTTTATACATCTCGCGTGAGCGTGGAAATGGACGTCCGCAACATGCACCGTTTATACATGAGGCCCCAGGTTCTTCATGAAACTCCCTTAATTCATCATTTATCTTGGGTGTCCCACACAAGGGACCAAATCCCTAAGGTGAGTAGAGGTACAGCCCAGTCCGTGCAAGTTGCCCAGCCCAGCCACCATACCTGTGTGCAGCCCTTGAGGAACAGGCCCTTAAGACCGGGGCAGCAGCGAACCAGGGCTTGGATGCCATCCTTTGTCACCTGGTCACACCAGGAGATATTCAGCTGTTCCAGCAAGGGGCAGCCCTCACTGTATGGAGAGGTAAGGCATTAAGAATCAGTCAAAACCCAGACAGATGAACTTAAAATGCAGTTACTGCACTTGTATGGGCTCTGATGGGCAATCATTTCACAAACAGAGGGAAATGTGAGTGTAACTGCAGCGTATATGGTGAGGAGACCTGCAGGTAGAGTACATGGGGTCAATTTAGTGTGAAATATTTTTTTTTTTTTTAATATCACATGTCTGTAAGTGAAATAGCTGAGCTTGTATGAAAATTTCAGACCTGGATGTGGTCCTCAGGGAAGTGCATGGTGGCAGATAGTCCATGTGAAACCTCACCTGAGTGCTTTCAAGGACTGGTTGGTGATAGAGGTACATGAGGCCAGATCCAAGTGCTTCAACTTGGGGCAGAACTTACTGAGGCTGGTGCACGTCCTGCACAGTGGGGGGAGGAGAGAGAGTGTAAGGCCATGGGCAACAGGCCTACAAACCACCCAACAGCAGCAACGTCAAGCACTTACGTGTCAGTGATCTTGGTGCACCCATTTAGACTTAGCAGCTCGATGTTCCGGCAGTTTTGGGCAAAAGTCCTGCAATTAGAGTGTTTTGATGAGTTTTCTCAACTGTCTACATTCCTCTAATCAAGCAAGCTTCCCAACACTTCTCAAAACCTTTCTATTACCATATATTTAGTCTTTCTAACTTATAATCACAAGGCACTCTTTGTTCATTCCTTTCATGGTCCCTTTGTTTACATTTCTCCTGAGAAGAGTGTTTAAAAACTGAACAGTTAACATTGGTTTCATTTTCCACAGAAGCAAAATACATAAACCAAAGATACTTATAAAGTATAGGTAATTTTAGCTATAGCAGTGTTTCCACTAGTAACATTTCTCCGCCACGGCAAAATCTTTGCCACAAAAAACAAATAAATAAAATCTATCCAACCAATCAATTATCATAACCAGCACTCTGCTGACTCGCTCAGGAAGCCGGATTCCCATCTCCATTCCCTGTGTGCATTACAGATTTCAGGTTGTTAATGGTATTGTCATTTAGCAGACGCTCTTATAAAGCTCTAATAAAATAAGCATTCAGGTAGGTGGGGGTGAAAACATCTCTCCTTGCTCTCTTACACCCCAGACACACACACTTATACATATCGCTATTGTGTTGTGTGGGGATGGGAGCAAAACAGTAAGGTCTAATCATTAACCTGTCCCCTGGCGACCTAGTAACATTACCAGTAACCTTCTGACATGGTTCCAGTGTGAACGCGAAAGAGTTAAAGATTACCATGTTTGAGATGGGCAGGGGAAGGGGGACTTCTCCCCCTTTATTCACTACATGGATATCAGTTGGGAGTATACGACACACATTACTTTACCATTATGGAAGACTGAGTGGGAATGAAAATTAATCTATGTTTTTTTCCTGATACATTAATACACACTGGGAGAGACTGACATCCCACAACAAAACTGCCAAGTTGTTATGTTGTTGAGTGAAGCACTGAAACTCTGCGGAGAAAACTCATTTCGGCCGCTTGCACTCGCGATGTCGTTCTTTCGGTCACTACCCACAGCTCGTGACCATAGGTGAGGGTAGGAACGTAGATCGACTGGTAAATCGAGAGCTTTGCCTTTTGGCTCAGCTCCTTCTTCACCACAACAGACCGATGCAGCGCTTGCATCACTGCTGATGCCGCACCGATCCGCCTGTCGATCTCCCGTTCCATCCTTCCCTCACTCGTGAACAACACCCTGAGATACTTAAACTCCTCCACTTGGGGAAGGGCCTCCTCCCCGACCTGGAGAGAGAACTCCACCCTTCTCCGGCTGAGGACCATGGTCTCAGATTTGGAGTTGCAGATTTGCATTCCAGCCGCTTCACACTCGGCTGCGAACTGTTCCAATGAGAGACGAAGGTCACGGTCTGATGAGGCCAACAGAACCACATCATCAACGCCCTGGCTGCGCCTAGAAATTCTGTCCATAAAAACTATGAACAGAATCGGTGACAAAGGGCAGCCCTGACAGAGTCCAACCCTCACCGGGAACGAGTCCGACTTACTGCCGGCAATGCGGACCAAGCTCTGACACCGGTTGTACAGGGACCGAACAGCCCTTATAAAGGCAGTCCGGCACCCCGTACTCCCGGAGCACTCCCCACAGGACTCCCCGAGTCCACAAAGCACATGTAGACTGGTTGGGCAAACTCCCACACACCCTCCAGGACCCTGCGGAGAGTATAGAGCTGGTCCACTGTTCCATGGCCAGGGCGAAAACCACACTGCTCCTCCTGAATCTGAGGTTCGACTATCCGATGGACCCTCCTCTATAGCAACCCCGAATAGACCTTACCAGGGAGGCTGAGGAGTGTGATCCCCCTATAGTTGGAACACACCCTCTGGTCTCCCTTCTTGAAGATGGGGACCACCACCCCGGTCTGCCAATCCAGAGGCACCGCCCCCGATGTCCACACAATGCCTTGAGGAACTCCGGGCAGATCTCATCCACTCCCAGGGCCCAGCCACCGAGGAGCTTTTTAACCACTTCAGCAACCTCTGCCCCAGAGATAGGTAAGTCCACCCCCAAGTCCCCAGACTCTGATTCCTCATTGGAAGGCGTCTCGATGGGATTGAGGAGGTCTTCGAAGTATTCCTTCCACCGACCCACAACGTCCCGAGCTGAGGTCAGCAGCACACCATCCCCACCATAAACAGTGCTGATGCTGCACCACTTTCCCGCCCCGAGACGCCGGATGGTGGACCAGAATCTCCTCGAAGCTGTCCGGAAGTCATTCTCCATGGCCTCGCCAAACTCTTCCCATACCCGAGTTTTTGCATCAGCGACCGCTGAAGCCGCGTTTCGCTTGGCCTGCCGGTACTCATCAGCTGCTTCCGGAGTCCCACAGGTCAAAAAGGCCCGATAGGACTCCTTCTTCAGCTTGACGGCATCCCTCACCACCGGTGTCCACCAGTGGGTTCGGGGATTGCCACAGCTCCACAATGGCCGCCTCCACAATGGAGGCGCGGAACATGGCCCATTCGGACTCGATGTCCCCCGCCTCCCCCGGGACATGGGAGAAGTTCTGCCGGAGGTAGGAGTTGAAACTCCTCCTGACAGGGGATTCCGCCAGACGTTCCCAACAGACCTTCACTATACGCTTGGGCCTGCCAGGCCTGGCCGGCTTCCTCCCCCACCAGCGGAGCCAACCCACCACCAGGTAGTGATCAGTTGACAGCTCCGCCCCTCTCTTAACCCGAGTGTCCAAGACATGCAGCCGCAAGTACGATGACACGACTACAAAGTTGGTGCCAAGTGCACATATGAACACCCTTATGCCTGAACATGGTGTTCATTATGGACAATCCGTGACGAGCACAGAAGTCCAACAACAGAACACCACTCGGGTTCAGATTGGGGGGGCCGTTCCTCCCAATCACGCCACTCCAGGTCTCACTGTCATTGCCCACGTGAGCATTGAAGTCCCCCAGCAGAACAAGAGTGTCCCCGGGGGGAATGCTCTCCAACACCCCGTCCAAGGACTCCAAAAAGGGTGGGTATTCTGTACTGCCGTTTGGCGCATAAGCGCAAACAACAGTCAGGACCCGTCCCCCCACTCAAAGGCGAAGGGAGGCTACCCTATCGTCTACTGCGGTAAACCCCAATGTACAGGCGCCCAGCCAGGGGGCAATAAGTATGCCCACCCCAGCTCGGCGCCTCTCCCCGTGAGCAACTCCAGAGTGGAAGAGGGTTGAACCCCCTTCGAGGAGACTGGTTCCAGAGCCCAAGCCGTGCGTCGAGGTGAGCCCGACTATGTCTAGTCAGAACCTCACAGCCTCGCACACCAGCCCAGGCTCTTTCCCCATCAGAGAGGTGACATTCCATGTCCCTAGAGCTAGCTTCTGCAGCTGAGGATCGGACCGCCAAGGTCACTGCCCAACTCACACTGCACCCGACCCCTATGGCCCCTCCTACAGGTGGTGAGCCCATTGGAGGGGGACCCACATGCCTTGTTCGGGCTGTGCCCGACCAGGCCCCATGGGTGTAGGCCTGGCCACCAGGCGTTCGCCATCGAGCCCCACCCCCAGGCCTGGCTCCATCCAGAAATGCTATACAACACATTTAAACATTACTTTTTAAAGCTGATGAATCACACTAACACAAAACAAGAAATACACGGGACCCACAAAGACTTTGAATGCAGCTGAAAAGAAGTGGCACACACACGTCTGTGGGTTTACCTTCCCAGACCACTGCCCTGTGAACCCCCCACCCCCAACTGCGGACGCACGCACACTAAGGGTGTCTACTTACGATTTGGTCGACAGACGATTCAGGGCTCATGGTTTGATACACTCACAATATACACTCACCTAAAGGATTATTAGGAACACCATACTAATATGGTGTTTGACCCCCTTTCGCCTTCAGAACTGCCTTAATTCTACGTGGCATTGATTCAACAAGGTGCTGAAAGCATTCTTTAGAAATGATGGCCCATATTGATAGGATAGCATCTCGCAGTTGATGGAGATTTGTGGGATGCACATCCAGGGCACGAAGCTCCCGTTCCACCACATCCCAAAGATGCTCTATTGGGTTGAGATCTGGTGACTGTGGGGGCCATTGTAGTACAGTGAACTCATTGTCATGTTCAAGAAACCAATTTGAAATGATTCGAGCTTTGTGACATGGTGCATTATCCTGCTGGAAGTAGCCATCAGAGGATGGGTACATGGTGGTCATAAAGGACATGGTCAGAAACAATGCTCAGGTAGGCCGTGGCATTTAAACGATGCCCAATTGGCACTAAGGGGCCTAAAGTGTGCCAAGAAAACATCCCCCATACCATTACACCACCACCACCAGCCTGCACAGTGGTAACAAGGCATGATGGATCCATGTTCTCATTCTGTTTACGCCAAATTCTGACTCTACCATTTGAATGTCTCAACAGAAATCGAGACTCATAAGACCAAGCAACATTTTTCAACTGTCCAATTTTGGTGAGCTTGTGCAAATTGTAGCCTCTTTTTCCTATTTGTAGTGGAGATGAGTGGTACCCGGTGGGGTCTTCTGCTGTTGTAGCCCATCTGCCTCAAGGTTGTGCGTGTTGTGGCTTCACAAATGCTTTGCTGCATACCTCGGTTGTAACGAGTGGTTATTTCAGTCAAAGTTGCTCTTCTATCAGCCTGAATCAGTCGGCCCATTCTCCTCTGACCTCTAGCATCAACAAGGCATTTTCGCCCACAGGACTGCCGCATACTGGATGTTTTTCCCTTTGCACACCATTCTTTGTAAACCCTAGAAATGGTTGAGCGTGAAAATCCCAGTAACTGAGCAGATCTGTGAAATACTCAGACCGGCCCGTCTGGCACCAACAACCATGCCATGCTCAAAATTGCTTAAATCACCTTCCTTTCCCATTCTGACATTCAGTTTGGAGTTCAGGAGATTGTCTTGACCAGGACCACACCCCTAAATGCATTGAAGCAACTGCCATGTGATTGGTTGATTAGATAATTGCATTAATGAGAAATTGAACAGGTGTTCCTAATAATCCTTTAGGTGAGTGTATTCAACAAAATAAGTCTGGAAAAAAAAACTAAGGATCTCACAGTTCTCATTTATTCCTTTTTTGGCATATACATTTCGAAACCATATATTTTTTCCTTATTCTTCCGACTCCAGTGCAAAATGCAAAAAACAACTTAACTCTTAAAAGTGCTTTAAACAAGCAGATCCCTACCTTCTTGAAACTAAAAGGAAAAACAATTGAGAATGTCCTTAGTGTAAAAGCAAAAACAAACAAAGATCTCACAGATCTTACTTAATCCCTTAAATTGTTTTCCAGTTTCTTCCTTATTCTGCAATCTCTAATGCAAAATAAATCTCATAGCAAAACTGAGATTATGCCTATTGTGTCCTCTTGCGTTAACATTAATAAATGATTCCGTGCCATGGTGCATTGTTACACCCCTACAATGCGTATTGTCCTATTTTTGAAACGGGAAATATCAGGTAACGGTGCATTGTTACACCCCTAACAAGCATGCGCATGCACGCGCGCGCACACACACACACACGCACGCACACACACACACACCCCCTGCCTTGTGGGTTTACCTTCCCACACCCCCTGCCCTGTGCAGCCCACACAGACACAGGCTTACCTCAAAGCGCTGTCCCCAACACCCAGGCACCCCCTCAGACTGAGCTTCCTCAGGAAGCCCCCACAGCGCTTGGAGATGTTCTCCACAACACGGCCCTGCAAGGTAAACAGGGTGTCTGTATTCTGGGAAAGCAGCATTGCTCTCTACACTCATGACAGCATCCCCACACATGACACCAACAATGTCTTTAAGTTTGCAGATGACACAAATGTGGTAGGAGACAGTGGAGATAAGACAGTATACAGGGATGATGTCCAAACAAGCTTGCCCTGAACATTTGCAAAACAAAAAGAACTCTTTTGAGTTCCGGAAACACAGCACAGAACACAAGCCTCTGTATATCAGTGTGGACTATGTGGAAAAGGTCCCTGCTTTCAGGTTCCTGGGCACACTCATTATGGAGGATCTCTCCTGGACCGCCAACACCACAGCAGCAGTCAAAAAGGCACAACAGCGACTACTTCCTGAGGATCTTCAGGAAAACAAACTACTAGAAGCTGCTAGTGTCTTTCTACCGCTGCTCAATCAAGAAAGTGCTGGTGAACTGCATTACTATGTGGTGCACTGGCAGCTCAGCAGTGGACAGGAGAGCCCTTCAGAGGGTCAACACAGCCCAGAAAATCACTGGATGCATACGGCTCTCTCTGGAGGACCTTTTCAGCTCCCACTGCCTCAGCAGAGCAATAAAGATATCAAAGGAACCATCCCACCAAGGGTATCATCTGTTCGAGTTGCTGCCCTCTGATAGACAACTCAGGTTCCATCATTTCATGGACAAACAGACTAAAGAACAGCTTTTACTAGAGCCATACGTGAACCAAACACTGTCAAACTATGACGCCAACCTTAGGGTCTACAGGATCCTTACTGCAATATTCTAATTCACTGTGTAATTGTAAGGTATCGTGTTATTATGTCATGTCGTGTGTGATTTCATATGTCTAATAGTTTTCATGTCAATTTTGCTCACTTAAAATAACGCTGCAATGTTTACATCAAACTGCACTTTATCGGTATTAACTGCACTGTTAATTGCATTTATTGCACGTTACTCATCTATTTATGGTATACAGGTCCACGCTGGGTTTGTAGTATTATTTATTTTGTCCTGTGTGATGTCTTATATCCAGAATTTCTGATGTTACCATCTGTGTGAATGCACCCATTGGACTGCTGCAAAAATTTCATTATACTCTGTACAATGACAGTAAATGATCTGAATCTGGAAAATAATCCTGGCAATAAAGCAAGTGTGTGCGTACAAACACAAACACAATGGGGGACAGGAGGGGGTTCACACTACTCTTGCCATTTATAAAGATCACAAAAAAAAGTGAATGACCAAATTAATTATACTCAAAACATAATCAAAATGCATATAATAAATACCAGGGTGGTATTCCCTGAAAGTAGCTAAAGAAAGGCAGACTTTCCCGAAAAAGTCAGACTCAGCCTAGCTCCATCTCTAAACTTGCCTCATGTCATTCCACGAACGAAGTTCAGTTTTAACTAATCAAGGCTCATTCAAGACAGACTTGCATAGTCTCACTTAGTACGCACACCCACAATATGCAAGAAGCCCAAATAAATGGATGAACGATAGATCGACCAAATGAGTCGGAAAGCCTGTAAAATGACAGTAGTGTTGTTTTCCACCACAGAACAAACGCTGCTGATGGAGCTGTATGAAAAGTACAAAGATGTAATCGTTAAAAAAAGGCAATACTGTGGCCATAAACACAGCCAGGCAGTTGGCTTGGCAATGAATTGCAGACAGACTAAATGCATAAGTTACGTAAATGTTACAAGCGCTTAGTAGAGTGGCACGGTGGTACAGTGGTTTATGCTATCGCCTTATAATGTGACAGTTGCTGGTTCGATCCCCATAGCCAATGGAGAACCTTCTGGGTTGATTTCACCTGTCATTATTACTGTATAATATTATTTGATCTCAGTAAAATACTTTAAATCACATCCATGTGAAATGTTCTGCACAAATAACCGTATCTTGTCTTTGCTATCTTAGTAATAAACTTTCAAAGTAGACAGCGACTAAACAAAATATAAAAATATCTTCCTGTTCATAACGGATTTTTTTTTCCAATTACAGTCATTGCAGTTCATGTTTCACCTTTGTAATATTCGTACGCTTTTATTTTACAGTAAAATACCATTATAACGGACTTCCAGGGACCTGGCAAAACAGTCCGTTATATCCAGAGTTGCTGTATGCCCAGAACACAACTACAGGACACCATTTACTCATGCCACACCTCAGCAGACACACTTGTGGTATAGATTATTATATTGTACATGTAGTAATCCAACTTTACCTGATCAGATGCGTGACTATTAATAATCCCGACTACGTATGTATCTGCGCTGGATATCACCGGCACGCCACACGCCTTGTAGGCAGAACTGCATGTCCGTTATAGCCGAACAGAACTACAGCTAAAAGCAGTCCTGGGGACCAAATTGTTTGTCCATTATAAGCGAAATTCCATTATATGCGAGTCCACTATATCGATGTTTTTTCTGCATGTTCTTATAGGCGCACAGCCGGGACAGGTGGACCTTGTCCGTTATAGTCGATATTCCGTTATAAGCAAGTCCACTATAACGGGAATTTACTGTAATTATTTTGGAATTAATTGGAATGCCAAGACATGATTTCATAGGTTTTATTATATTGATTATGTAGCAATCTCAGCTCTGTTCTCCATATTATGGAAGTATCACGAAGAGGATTACTTCCGAAAAGATGGTTTTTATTCTTTGCTTTCTCGTCTTGCTTTTACTCACAGCACTAACTACAGGGTTCAATTTTTTTATATACGTATATACAAGACTCATTCTCCCACTAACTCAAACAAAATCATGTCATTGTTGGTACACCTTACAGATTAACCAAATAATTCAATCAGATAATGTAAAATATAATGTCAGATGAGGGGACACAATTTGACAGATTACATGACATGAATAGTAAGATCATAGAATTTTGTCCAACGGAACGATCTTTTGGGAATCTGTTCCCACATGTCAGACGTTCTTTGAGACAACGCTAAACTAAGCGAGACAGTTAGCCTGGTGCGGAGCAGACTTGTTCACTCACCTAAGTTACCATGGTAGCTCAGCGGGGATTCATTTAAGACACGTTGATGGAACGGAATTCCCACTTAAATGAGCCAGACTTGTCGAAATAAGTCAGACTTTCCCTTAATTCTGCTTTGTGGAATAAACTCCAGTTTTTCATTGAAAGTGAATTACAGAGACAACAGAAACAAGGGGATGGAAAGAAGAGTATTTCAGTTACCTCAATGTCTCTCTGGAAGTCGAAAAGATCAATTCTCTGCCAGTTACTACCATCCAGGGCTAGCACGTTCCAGGACTGGGGAGGGGGGGAGGAGGGGGAAGTAAAACATCAAGCATGCAGAAAGACAAACACAGGCCAGACTTCAGCACATGAAGATTACTTTAAAATCCCTAGTACATGCTACCAACATAAATGTGCACACAGAGAAAGAGTCAGAGAACATGCTTACCCGTGAGACCTGCGCACATCGGCACAATGTCACCACATCCAAGAAGGAGAAGATTCTAGGGTCAGAGAAAAATAGGAGACAAGATAATGTGAAAGGGTACCATCATCCACTTACTTCCTACTTACATACTGTTTTGAGAAGGGGGATGGCTGGGGCTGGGTGACTGCTCTCATTGGGCATTAAGGTTCCTATAGCTCTTTATTGTAAAAGGTTACACCAGCTCTGTTCTCTCTTGCCCTTAGGACACGCGCACCATGATGACTGACCCCACACCCTATTGCAGCCTTACTGAGACCTGACCTCCCTTTCATTTTCCCCCAATCCTCAAAACACATTTTCACCCACTTTCTATCATCCCCAGATCCAGGGCTGGAATCATCCAGGGCCGGCGTCATGAGGGGGTATTCATGGGCCATGCCTCCCTCCCCCAGAATGAGCCAATATGCCCCTCCCCCCACCCAAAAAAAAAAAAAAGTATATACACAAGTCATTCATCAAAAAACAAATAAGCCCGGTCTCTCCCAGGGGTGTGGCTAGGGATCATATGCCCCACCTCCTTCCTGCCAGAATTGCTCTGGCCTGGTGTTCAGACGAGTTGAGCTACCTATGGAGACGTGCTATCGGGCCTTTCTGTGCATGTGCAGTTCCACCGTTTTGAGATTAGGGTTAGGTTTTAGGGGTTAGGGTTAGAGTAAGGGTTTTAGGGGTTTTTGGGGGGTTAGGGTAAGAGTTAGGGTTAGGGCTATCGATTAGCACTACGTTCGCCTAACTCGACAAAGTAGCTCAACTCGACAGAACACCGGCATTGCCCGAGTACCTGGATTTGTTCGCTGTACTTAGCTTAGTTAGTCGTTAAACAAGTAGTGAGACACTAAACACTAACAAGCACGTTTAATTTCTAAAAGGGGCTGCTGATTCACACTTTAAACTGCTTTGCATCGCAAACTCCAGTAAGCTTTGCAAGTAGCTTTGCCAAAACAGCCAAATAAACAAACAAACAAGATCGAGAGATGACGTCGCAGTGAAACCTCTGCAGCAGCCAACGGGAACGACCTCTCGTGCTCTGTGCTTACAAGCCTACCCCTTAGTCTCCCAGAAACAGTGTAAAGGGCTAAAGTAAATGGCGTTCTTATTTCGCATTGGGTTAACCAAATCCATGAAAAACGGAGAGCAGCGTTATATTTTCATACGTGGCCAGAACAGCGATGGGGATTAAAAAAGAAGCAGATGGTACGAGCGTCCCGATATAGAAGATTGTGTTAGGTGTGTCGGTGCGAGAGCCGGGTAAAGGTGACCTGGAAGACAGGGGCCGACGGGCCTCTCACCTACCTCAACAGCAGCTCTTTGGGAAGCTTCTTGTTAATCGCGGCCTCGTCGCTGTTTGAAAACATCTGCGGTCAAAACAAGACACACTGTTAGCAGAAAATTCAGTTTGCCTGATCCCTCATGGGAATATTGTGAGATTGAAGAGTCTTGGATTTCATTTGAGAATAAAACTATAAATGCCTTTCCTGGAGGTGTTTTGCGTGTCTTTACAGAACCGAAAGCAGTACATTTAATTTCTGGTCTGGTACGTGTTACTACTTTGTTTAAAACAGTGTCGTTAAATAGCAACACTGTGCCACAAATTACTACATTTCTTTATATGTAAGCCTAACAACAATTTAGTTGCAGTGGATATTTAAAAAGTGAAATAAATAAGTGCCGAAACGTGAGACCTGCAAGGCAATTTCGATTTGCGTTAAAAACTAAACAAATGTTCACTACCAACTGGGCCAAGTGAGGGGGTGCATGTCGGATCCGTACCAGCGGAAAAGTACCCACATTTATACAGCATGTTCGAACACGGTTGTAAAATGAATAGATGAGTGGATAAACTACATATAAAATATGTAACTAACAGTGTCACTAATATTCCTATAATATTGGCTACAAACAATAGACCAAATTATTTTTCATTTACGCATTGCAAGTTTTGGCCAACCCTTGAAGATGTCACCAGGCGAAATCGCTGTATCCTGGCGCACCGGTTATATAACCATCTTGTACGCTATAGATAGGCATATGTAAGAGTTACTTGCCCGATTAAGTACAAGGTACCGACAGGACTGAAATCTGACAAGTAAAATCCGGCAAGTTAGCTCCGTAGAAATTTAAAGCAGTATGTTTTTGGGAGGGGGGGATAATGCCAGAAACCAGAATTTTACAGGTGTCCATATATAAACCGTAAAGCATTTTTTAATAAGGATGAACATCCCTGTATACACATTTCCCAAACTAAACTGACTATAATCTATAAAGTACTAAACTACGATACGTGTTGTTTAGCCCCACATTAACATTGCCACGGCCACACGGACGTGTGGAGGTCTTGACACTGTATACTGTAGAATAAACAAGAGACACTGTTGTTATGTTGAGCTCATCTCGAGCCTTTGCGTAAAGGCACCTTTAAACCTGCACAGCAAGGCTGTTTTCAATTAACAAACTACACCATAGTTGGCCGACAAGCAGCACTATACTGTTACATGCGTAGCTGTATGCGTAGGTTAGTCAACTTAATGGATCAAATTTAAGACTGTTCAATAGAAAAAGCTACGATACCATATTCAATTATATATAAATAAAATGACGTATTACCAATACTGGATGATGTATTTGATGGTGCAGATATCAAGCCAGAAACTATAGGGCCCGGATTCGTGTGCTCAGCTGTACAACATTAAAAATAAGTAAAACCACACAAATCCCGTGCTCCCTTGCTAGAGGATTAAAAGACAAAAAAAAAAAAAAAAATACACACACACACACACACACACACACACACNCTCTCATATATATATATATATAAATAAAATACACACACACACACACACACACACACACACACACACATACATACACACAATACAATAATTTAAAACAGTTGTTGACCAAATTGATATTTATTTTGTTCAACTGAATCATGAATGACCGCCCCCCCCCCCTTCCCAAAGAATTAAAAGTTTGATGGGGGCCTAGTGAACAAACATAATCAACACGTCAGCAGCACTGCATAACTGCAAGTGTTTGTAACAGTACGCGTGTAGTAAGTGCGTATACTGTATTTCTCCATTGTTCGCGATTGTGATGTGGTCCTTTTTAGTTGGAGCGGCTTGTTTTTCACAAGCGTTTCGGGCCCCGGCAGCCTCAGCAGCCATTAGCAAACAAAAGAGCTGGGTGATCAGAAAGTACACAGCAGCTCCAGGGCTCCGTGAATATATGACAGACCAGGTTGGGCCCGGCACTTATATCGCACATCCCAAAATGTCAAGACTTCAACTGTGTTTAGGACATCGTCTGCATTGCTGTCTTTGTGTTAGAAGCAGGAGGAACAGGAAGCTCATATAGTTTACCTTAACATTAGCACTGAAGCACTGAAACAAAGTATTTTAAGACCGTTTCAGTGAAAATATATGTGGTGTCACCATATCACGCACTGTAAATCAGTCCTTTTTTTCGAAAAAAAGAACAAAAGACGACAGCACGTTACCTCATGAACTCCGACGGAAATGCGAATTTAGCAGCCAAAATACTCACCACAGAAACATTTGCGGACGTGAAGTAGTGTTACACCAAAGGTCAGCAATCAGTATGCGAAAATCCTCTTCATTTTAATTCTTATAAAACCAACATATAAATGCACAATATGTCATTCTCAGCTTTTAACGAACGAGAAACTAACCTCAAACCGGCTCCGAGACACTCCGTTTACCTCCTTTCCCATCCCGGATTGTGAATTATACAACTCAATCCGCCGTTAAAAATATCGAACACCTTTAGAGATTATCATGCTACTGTTGTTTTCCTGTAAAGAATGCTAGCTTGCTAGTTTTCGTTAGATGACAAAACAAATACAGAGCCTCCTCTTTGCTAACCCATACCAACCGACCTCTTATCTCATTTGCTCTCGAGCCCAGTCTCCCCTCCCTCTCTCATCTGGGATCGTGTTGAGTTTATTTTTCAGTCCACAGGCAGTATTTATCCAGCTTTATAGCGACGAACTCGCAGACGATAAATCGACCCTAACCACTATTATAGCAGTGAGTTAATTATGTGATTTATTCCACGCAACACAAGGATAGTCTTCAATCTCTACCTTCCTTTTCCGCTTATGGTCTCTAACATAATCAGGCCTAAACTCGTTTGATGTAATGCAACACACTTTCTGTTTAGTGTCTGCATTAATATAGTATTTTCTTGGTTTAAATATATGACTTATAGAAATCATCATATGCCAACACATAATTATAATGTCTGGACTAACATACGATATGTGGCTATACCCATTTGAGAAAGCTTATTGGATGCATTATTATTGTTTATTTGGCTGACGGCATTATCCACCGTCAGGAAGGCCGGGTGCATATATAAATGATTTCTATATTTACAAATTTAATATGATCGTAATCCGTTTTAAGTTTTATAAATTACTTCCAAGTCTACAACTATATCGGTCTTAGTATGACCAAACTTACAATAAAAACAAACTTTTTATTGACAAACAGAACTTCCGTTTTAAATAATCACGCCCCCAAAAAAGATAACCTATGAAAATGCTGCAAAATGGGATATTGTGATGTCATTGTCGCGGGAAAATCAAGCGTGGCCATTTCTATTTCATATTCATAAGGTAGGAAGTAGCATCACTCTGTCATCACCACATGACATCACTTCCTGTTTGAATGTAAACAAATACTTGCTTTTTCTTTTTCTTTTTTTTACTGCTTGACATTTCTTGTCAACATACTTCTATAAACGTACAAAGCATACGTTATGTGGCCCGGCACAAGAAGAAAAAAAAAAGAATAATACCGTTAGCCATCTAACGCTATGCCAGCATGAAAGGCACCCAAGAATGGCAAGCTAGTAACTTTTTTGACCGGAGCTGTCCTAACTTCAACCACCGTTACGTTTATGTCATAGTTTGATGTAGGTACACACATATTGCACATACATAGAATTGAGCTTATGGTTGTAACCAGTAAAAATGTACTCTCTCCAAAATCCTTTTTGTATTGCTCACACACTATACAGTCTAAGAGGCTAAAAGGTAGATAGTTTCTCCTATCCTATGTGCAAGTATACAGAGGTCAATGACCAGCTTTAATCTAAATCTAGCATAGCATGGATTCTACAGGTACCTAGTTTTAGGGTTGCAAAATAATTCTTCTGTTTAAAAAGTGCTGTTTTTTGGTATTATTATATCCCAAAAATGTCCATGAGGGATGAAGCCTGATAAACTGAATGATGTGGCCATCCCTGTTATTTCATTTATCTTCTCATTATAATACTCTGTAATACTGGAAGAAAGCACTGGCCCATGAAAAGATTTCTCTGCCTCCTGGGTATGAATGCTTCAGATGCAATCGGATGAAAACAATACTGCAGCATGGTCTTTAATTTATCAAAGGTAAATGGATCATCAGGAAAATTCATCCCACACTCTAGAGCGCTACCACCTTAGGGACAGTGGTTCTAAATCAGAACTAAGGAAACCATCACTGACGCTGCTTCACCCACAAGCTTCAGCTGTACTCATCAGACCACGTGATTTCTCCCCCACTGCTCAGTAGACCATCTTGCTTCAGTAAATGCAAAAAAAAAGCAAGGGCATGACACTCCAGCAGTTTTTACCTTCCTCAAAATTCCTTATGGAGCAACAAGTAGCAACCTCTGTGACTGTGGCTCATTCCAAATATGTAGCAACATCACTAATAATTCTCAGATTCTAATCATGGGAAACAGACTGGCATTTTTCGGATGGTCCCAAGCACAACACCACCCACGGTGAATGAAATTTTATATAAATTTCTAATTCCAATCAAAGGAAAACAAACATAGAATCATAACTAACAATGTACAATGCATGTACATCTGTACTTCATTTTTGTTTTATAAAAACATAATCCTCAGAAGACAATTGTGTTGCATTTCATTTCACACTAATGCAGGTTTTGTTTTGCTGCACCCCCTTCCAGCCCGTTTTTGTTTCTCAGTTAAATAATAGAGTTCAAAGAAATCCATTGGTAAAAAGACCATTTTTTTTTTTTTTTTAAGTTCAGTAAATGCATATTTCCAGGTAATGCCACTTTCTACTTTGTTGAAAAGCAAAGATATCTTCAATTACACAATACGTGACACAGAAGTGTGAGGGGGGACCTGTACAACAATTAAAAGTTTAACTCAGCAATGTAACATACTCCATAAAAAAATTGACAGATTACAGAAATGTAAAAATACTACAGCTGTTCACAGAACACCTTCCCAAACCAATTCTTAAAAATAACTATCATAAGTAATAAGTTCTGCAAACTTTAGATAGATAAAAAATAAGGATTAAACAATGTATAGTTTATCCACTGAATGAAAACTTCCATGCTACAAAAAAATAAATTATTAGATCCTGCTCCTTAGTTTCAAAAGTAGAGAAATAAAATTTAGTATGTTACTATAACAATGTTGCAATGTGTTTGGCCTCAAAATTAGGCAACAGAAGCAAAAGTTATGTTTAAGACTGAATTAGAAATATTCAGTTTTGATTTTTAGACTATGTGCAATTTTTCTCCAAATGTGTCACACTGGTCCTATCTCTGTAACCATAATTAGGATGCAGTTTTTTTGGCTCCGCAGTAAAGAGTACAGGAAATTTCTTAAAAAGAACATCCAGGGGGAATTTGATTTCCCAAAGGAACATATGATAAAATAGCAGGGTTTAGATAATCATGCAACTCACACAAGCATTGAACAGCATTAAATCATTGTATGCCCAGAGGCCCTGGTGCACGATACATTATCATGATCACAAATACAGTCAATTTGTTTTTTTTCCCTTTTCAAACCTTACCCTGCATGTAAAACAACTTTGTTGGCCATATTCAAGAGAAGTGTACATTTACATTTAAAAGGAAAAAAGGAACTTGGCTGGGATGAAAACCAGCATGCTGATGGTCTTTGAGGAACTTCTGTCCATCCATTTTCCACACCCACTTGTGGTATGCTGGGTTGGGAGGGGGTGCGGTGCCTATGCAGGGAATAACCTTGGGCTATCAATTCACTACAGGGCGTACTCAGACACCATTCACTCACACCTATGCGCAATTTGGAAATTACAGTTAATCTTGGCATGTTTTTGGACTGTGAGGGGAAACTGGAGTACCTGGAGGAAACCCCTTGATAACAAGGAGAGAACATGCAAACTCCACATATGTAGAGTCGAGGTGGAGACTCGAACCCTGGTCCAAGAGGTGTAAGGCAACACTGCTAACCACATCAGCTAATATTCATAAAAATAAAGCAAAAAGGCTGCTCCTTTTGCCCCAGCTTCCTGCACGGCTGATCTCCACATCGCCACGATAGAAAGCGCCAGCTTGGTGCCAATCTATCTGACGTAGTCCCTCGGTGACAGGCATCTTATTTGAAGGGTTCCAGGTTACCCGTGAGTGCGGAGTCCATGAGGTCATCATCCTCGGTGTGTAGATAGGGAGGGCTGGGCCGGGCCGGACGATCTGATCCCAGCATGGAAAGTGTTGGGTCTGGTGCTGAGATGGGTGAGCGAGACCAGCTGTCAGGCTTGAGCGGGTGTGAAGATGAGCTGCAGGATGAGGAAGACTTCTTTTTCTCTTTGTCACGCTCCCGGTCCCGTTCCCTCTCCCTTTCCTTCTGCTTCTTCTTCTCCTTCTTGTGTTTCTTGTGCTTCTCGCCTGAGCTGACTGGAGTGGAACTGATGTACTCGTGGGGGGTCTGCAGGGGCCGCAGGGCCTGGTCATCATCTGAGCTGGGGCTGTTCTGGTGCGACTTCTCGGCCACAGAGCTGCTGCCAGACTCGCTCTCGCTGTCGGGGTTCAGAGGAATGTACCCCGGAGAGCGGCTGTGGCTGGGGGAGCAGCGGTCATGCTTGGGCGTGGAGCCGCTGAACAGGGGAGAAGCCTTGAGACCTGGCAGTTGGGTACGCATAGCATCAGCAGTGCCCTCCCCAGGCTTCTGAAGAGTTACCTTGGCCTTGATGCTTGGAGACCCCCCATCCGGCTTGCTGATTATGATCTTGGCCACCCCGGTGCTTCCAGCACCCCCACTTTTCGAATCCAGCGGCTTCTTGTCCCCTGAGCTCCCTGACACCAACACTTTGGATTTGCCCTCCTTCTCCATCTTCTCCCGCTTACTCATGTATTCCGTGCTTTGGGAGGACATTCCATGCTTGGAGGATGGGGGACCAACATTTGAGGAAATCCCCGCACCTCCTCCAGAACTACTGCCACCTCCACAGCCTCCCTCGCCACCTTCCTCACCCCCCACCCCTCCCCCTCCCACACTCTTTAACTTATCAATCACGGCTGTGAGGGAAGGCTTTTTGTTGCGGCTCGGCGACTTGCCTTTGGCATTGGGGTTGTTGTTGCTGCTGCTGCTGCCGCCGCCGCCACCACCACCACCTCCCCCACCACCACTGTACTGTGACTGCGAAGCTGCAGAAAATGACATGGTGCCAGAAGATGAAGAGCTGGAAGAGGAGGAGGATGATGATGATGATGATGAGGAGGAGGAGCTGGAAGAGGAGCCACTCATCTGCTTCTGGGAGCTCATTCCTGAGGAGGACTTTGAACCCCCAGAGCCCCCACTGCCTGAGCCCATGGGTGACTTTGCCTTGGAGGATGGTGGCGTCACGGGGACCTGGCTCTGCTGCAGCTTCATGGGAGAGGAGAGCTTGTCGGAGGTGCCAGAGCGAGAATGCGACGGTGAGATGTTGGGCTTGATGTTTGGGTTCATGAGAGATCCTGGGGGCTTTCCCCCCTGAGGTTTCATTTTGCTGCCACTTCCTCCCCCGCTGCCCCCACTCCCCATGCCAGACAGCCCATGTTTAGTTATTGGGGATGAGCCTGGCTTTCCAACGCTGATCCCCTGCGAGGAGCCCTTTGACTGGGAGCCCACAGGCCCCCCGCCCCCTCCGCTGCTGCTTGGTTTGGAGCTATTGCTCTGACCCAGAGAACCCTCTGATTTGTTGCTCTTCACTTTGCCTGACGAGGAGGACGAAGATGATGACGAGTGGGAGTGGTGGCTTTTGCTGCTGCTGCTTCCACCCAGGCTGCCCCCACTACCCCCAGCAGAGCTGCTGGATGTGTATCCTCCATGGGAGGAGGTCTTGCCCCCTGACAAGGTGCATTTTGGAATCTGAATGGTAATTTTGGGAATAGGTGGTGTGGCGCCTCCTGGAGGAGTCTGTGACCTCCCAGAGCTCCCGGGGGATTTGGAGCCTCCACAGCTCATGGGCACGCCAGAGCCCACAGCCCCGCTGGGTGGGGTGTAGGGTCGGCTGCCCGTGCTGTGAGACGGAGACTTGCTGTCAGGGTCCATCTTCTTACGCTTGGGGGGCTTATCTTTTGACTTACTCTCACTGGAAGGGGTGCGGCTCCGCTTCACCTGCTTACCTTCGGACAGGCCCCCCAACACACCCCCCAGGCCAGAACTCCCAGCACAGCCACCATCATCTTTACCCCGCATCATCTGCTGTTGCTTACTCTTCAAATCAGCACCCTTAAATTCACCAGTTCCACCCCCACCCAAGCCCATCATATGAGGACTCTGCCCCCCTCCCGAGTGTGGGTCCCCCAGATCAGGGGCAGGCACAAGCAGGGGCTTTCCTCCTCCACCCGCACCCCCAAAGACGACATTCATGTCAAAGGCATCCTTGAGGGGGGGGTCAGGGCTGCTGCGCCCATGTGGAGTTGGGTTCTGGGGCGTCCCTATAGGGGTATTCTGCTGGCTGCCCCCAAAGCCCTTGCCCAGGTCGAGGTCCCCGTCTGCGCTGGGGGAGCTGTCCCCAAAGTAGGACTGGTGGAAGCCCTGGGTGCTCAGGAGGTCAGGGTTGAAGTCCACCGTGTCTGGGAAGAAGTTAGTGGAGGAGGAGTCGCTGGTGGGTGTGGCTGCTGTGGTTGCCTCGGCAATGAGGTCAGCAGCGTCTGGGAATGGGTTCTCGTTGCTACCTGCGTTGAACAAGTCGGACTCAAAGACAGCACTGCCCTGGCCTGAACTAGAGGAGTCCCTCAGTGGAGTGCCCAGCGGGCCTGCGTCCTCCCCGCTCAGGTGGTGCTGACCGTGAGCGCTGGCCCCACCACCCACCGATCCTTTCGCTGTTTGGTCGGGGAGGTCCGAAAGGATCTCATTGATGTCAGCACCGATACTGTCAGAGCTGGAGAGGCGCGTCATGCGGTTCAGGTTGGGGCCTGAGGGGGGTGGCTGAGGTGGCGGCTGTTGCTGTGACTGGGCCTGGGTGTGGGCTGGGGCGTGATACGGCATGCTGGGCCCTGCAGGGGGGGTGCCACATTGACTGGGGGCTGGTGTTATGCTGTGGGGAGTGTCCAGGCCATCCCCTGGCAGATTCACGTCAAACATGTTCTGGGTGGCATCCACATCCATAGAGAAAAGCTCGCGGTGGAAGTCATCCTCAGTGGGGTGGTGGTGCTGCATGGGCCCACCCTGCTGCTGCTTGATGCCCATAGCTGCCCCGGACACTCCACTCTTCTCAGTCCCCCTCATTCGCTTCTTCTTTGGCTTGGTGCCCCCCCCAGTGCCCCCCAGGCCGTCGGTGCGAGGTGACTCCGAGGATGAGTTCTGCCTCTCCAGAGGTCCAGAACTGTAAAGGGCTGAGAAGTCCTGGGAGGGGTTATCCTTCAGCAGGTGCATGAGCATGGGGTGGTTCTTTGTGTTGCTGGCAGGGGAGGAGGTTGGGGGTGGGGTCTGGTGGGGCTGGGGCCCAGAGGAGGGGGGCTGAGGGGTGGGACTGGAGCCCACGCTGCCTGTGATCTGAAGTAGGCTTGTCAGGATGGGGTTCTGAGTGACTTTACTGAAGTCATCTCCATGAGCAGCCTGCTGCTGCTGTACCTGATGCTGCTGGCCCCCGCCGATCTGGCCCATGCCCTCCGACAGGGAGCCCGTGCCCCTGCTCATGCCAAACAGCGAGTTGATTGGGCCTGTAAAGGAGGGCCCTCCTCCAGCACTGCTTCCCATGCCGCCACCTCCAGTAGGCGTGTTCCCCCCTCCGGCCCCTGAGAGGCTCATGGGGTTGCTCCCGCTACCTCCGGAACCCATGCCATAACAGGGGCTGCAGGCACGAGGCAGATTCTTCTTCACCATGTCCTCCAAAGTCTCCTGGATCAAGGACAGGGCGGGGGTGTCAGCCTGGATGGTCTCTGCTTTGCGCCGGATGGCTCGCATGGTGACTGGGATGGACATGCACCTGGGTGGTAGGATAGTTGTTAATGTTAGAACAGTTGGATATTTTTTTAGCATTACACTTAAGCCTCGTTTATACTGTAAAATGAACCCGCACAACTTCAGACACTGTCATTAACTGCATGTATGCGTCCAGTTCTGTTTATACTATATGCATAGTATTCACACCGGAAAGGCTTCCATTTCCAATTATATTTTATTCATTTATCTGATGCTTTTATCAGATAAAAAAAAAACAGGGTGATGTTCCCTGGCCTGGCTGAACAACAGTGATCCAGGTTAAGGGCCAGGGGACACACCTTTGGACGACCTTGGTGATGAAGTCATCTGTGCAGATGAGGGCATCAGAGACACCTTTGTAGAGCTTACAGGATACCTGCCTTGAATCAGTCACATCCATGACCACTGGAAAGATTAGTGAAAAAGTAGGAAAATGAGGTGACATAAGCTAAAACAAATGACTTTCATATCCTGAATGTCCAAAGTAGGTAGTAATTAAGACTGTGTGTCCTCACCGCAAACCAGGGACTCGTTGACAGGGTGCTGAAAGGATACACTGAAGCTGGAGTCCGTCAGTGGACAAACCTCAAACTGCAGCAGCCCCGGTGTATCTAACAGGACAGAAAAGAGGTGGGTCAGCAATCACCCAGCGACAGATCAGTACAATATGAATACACAAAGCCAATCCTAATAAATCAGAAGGGGGGGGGGGTGAGTCAGGCTTTTGCAACTATTCTACCCAAGTCCAACTATTTCACCCATTTTGAATAACCACTTATGATATACGGCATTTGGATGCTCCAGGATGTACAGGGCATGAGACAGGGAAAGTCCAGTCTAGAGTCACTACAGGTAATCTGTACAGTGGGAGGACACCCATACAAACATGGTGAGCACTCGTCAGGGTTAAACCATCAGCCTTATTTAAACAACCTGTATTCACCATTGATGACAAATACATTTTAAAATGGAAACATAATTAGAACTTATTAGAGGTGCACCAATCTGATATTCAGATCGGTATCGACCCCGATCCATACCTATTATACGGATTAGGTATCAGACATATGTGACCAACTCATGTCCGATAGTTACTTTTTTAGTTTTCTGCGTTCTGTAATAGAAGTGACAGCTCCTATTTCTTGTTTGTACAACCAATTGCACAACAGCTCTTGCCCATTTGACGTGCTTTTTTTTTTAAACCGCATTCAAGTTGAACACCAACGTTGCCACTCAGTCTCTTTGTCACTCAGTGGGTGTGAGCACAGTGACTTCTGCCTGCTGTGACATTGTGACGTCATGTACTTACCTTTTGCAGTAGGAGCAAGTAAGAACATCATATTAGAGGGTGGAAATCGGGAAGTATTTTATACTTTTAAGAACAACTAGTAGCATATTGATTTGCAATCTTTGTAAAAGCAAAGTTTTGAGAGACGAAAGCAGCGTTTAATGGAAAATCCCACTAAACAAAAATACACGGAATTGTGCAAGACAAAGTGAGCAATATAAAAATAGTAGTGGATGATTTGAGAGTTGCTAGCTTGGGCTGATTTGCGTACTCACTACATGGGGGGGCTGCTATCACAATGAAGTTACCAGTGGGAGAAAAATTATGGGGCATTTTAAGCATTCACCATTTGTGTATCCTCGCTTGGATGATATTCAAATTGAATGGCAAATGCCTCAAAAACGCTAAAAACAAGATGCACGAATGAGATGGAATAGTACATGTTTGCTTCTCGTAGCCCAATTAAAGATTTTTTGGCATGCATTTTTTTTCATTTGAGAAAAAAAAAAACAAAATCTGGCTTGTGCACACACCCCTGATAAAATTTACACTCACTCACTCTATGACTGAACTATAACAGCACATGGAAAAGTGAAGAATGAATTGGCCCATACAGTCTGCACTCGGTGTCTGACCATGAGTGACCCATGAGCAGATGGAACTGCACCTACCCTCTTTGATAAGTGTCTTCTTGACACAGCTAGCAATGAGTGTGTTGTATGCAGCCTGGTGTCGGATGACATCCAGCAGTGCTGGCACCTGTGCAGGGTGCCGGAAGGGAATCTTAGACACCAGTGCCCCCTGCAGGCACCGCCCATCCTGGACTGGTGCGTCACAGTTCAGGAAATAACAGTGCTGCTGGCCGGGCAGAGACTGATATAGGAGGAAATATGAAACCAAGTGAGATTCAGGACATCTCTCATGTATAAATAACAGAAAGTGGTATGGCAGGCGAGGTGCTGAGGAGGCACTCACCGCATAGAAGCGCATGGTGTGTGCATGGCTTGGCATAGGGCCCGCCCCCTCGTCCTGTAGCTGGCTCTGCACAATGAGCTCATACAGCGGAGCCAGGGCAGGGGAGGTTTCAAACACAGAGATGCCTGGGAAAGGGACAGTGCTGGGGTTAATGGAAAAGAAACAATATGTCTGTCTCAATCACAAGACTCTTCCCATGACAAGAAGTCAATTTCAGGGAATGAGAACTAACCGTTAACCAAATGTTATACTCCGTAACAGTAACAAACTTTTTAGAACACCAGTGTTACATAATACTGCAAAATTACCAGTCTAGAGGTTTCTGCTGGACTTTGAAGTCTTTAACAATACAAATTTATCTTGACCTTTTATCAAAGCACTAAGAATTTCACAAGCCCAGCCTCTCCCACCATTTTCTTCTCTCTCCCATGACGAGACAAGCAACGTTCAGTATTACTCAAAAATCTGCACACAATCTCTCTACCATACCTACACAAAACAATTAACTCAACCATGTTGCACTTACTACATGCTGCCATAGAATCCTTTCAACACAGAATGGCATATATACCCAAACAATGACCAATAAACAAACACAGGGAAACAAATCTTAGCATTGACCACTAACCATGAATCTCAGTTTTCCCAAAACTCATTTCTTTTTTGTTTGCCACATACATTCGTTAGGTTAAATCTAACATTCATCCATATGGGCAGAGCAAAACCAGCTGAATAGTGCTCAGATGTCTATTATGCCATTTATATAGGATACTGAGGCCTGAAATTCCATAACCAGTACAGATTCATTAGAATTTTACTCATGTTCATCTATGAAATGAAATGTTTATTCCTAAAATTATTCCTAAATTAACCGATTGTTAACCCCTTTAACACTACTAAACCCCCCCCCGTGACCCCTCACCTGTAATGGTGTCCATGCGCTGTATGAACGACAGCGAGCAGGGAGTGGGCCGATTGATCTTCAGGAAGAAGCAGGCTGGTAGGTCCACAGAGTTTGAGTTGGTCACAGCAGAAAATGAAGGAGTTCTGAGAGGGGAGACATTTATCCATGGACATAAAGTGAGTAACCATGTGCTTTTTCTAGGGTTGGGAAATGTATCAAGGGAACACATAGCGTTCAATATGAACATTTGTTGACTGACTTAATGCATGCAAAATTTTGAAAATGGGAGAAACGAACAAGCAAATATTTTTAATAGTGGTCATATAATATTTCTTTCTGGTTGTAAACTATGCGAGTTAAAGTCATGATATTACACAGAATCCCAGAATTCAAATCTAAAATTAAAACATTCACGGGATGTGACCTGGTTTATGTCATTTTTAAAAAGAATTTAAAATTAAAAGAATTTTAAATAATGATTTGCAGTATGTTTTATTTTTTTATGGGTTGTACCTTAAAATATTAAGATCTTTCATGTTATTAAGTACACCTTCACTTGTTATCAGGCTTCTGCTCTTAGAGTCAGATAAATTTTAGATCTAACACGCAGATGGAATTAAACAGTCTGTTGATCCACCTATTGAGTAGCTGCAATTATATGTACATGTGGTATATGCCTTTGCAAGGCCATTTTGAAGGCACTGAAATTCAGCTTGTACTTGTTTGCAAGTAGTATTTTTGTTGGAAATTAATATGAACAAGTTTAAACCATTCAACAAATAGATGGTAACCTCCTTGAGACAAAGAAAAAGGGAAAAAATTGGTTATAATGATCATCCGCTTATAGTGCTCAATTTCACCCAGACAGACTTGATCACTATAAGTGGATTCCACTGTATTTATGATTGCAAGTTTTGATGTCTGGTGCTATTAATCATGGCAAGTTGTGCGATTCATTGGTTAATTTTTTCAATCGATACAAAGTTGTAGTTTTTACACAATAACACCTCACAATATGTAATACATTAAGTGAATCAGTTTTTAAATTGACAATAATCTAAGTTTAACAGCTCTTTGCAAAACATGAGAAACACAGACACACATCTCACTGCCACCATCCCCCTTCATTCATCCCTCATCCTGGTTAACCTCCCCCCCCCAATCTTTAGCTCCTCCTACCCTTTGTTGTCCACAGGGTGGGAGCCAGTGATCAGGGGGGCAATGGGCAGCTTGTACACTGAGGAAGTGCCTTCCACTGTCACTGACATGCTGATGCCTAGGGAGCGAGGCACTGCAGTGGCCAGGGAGGGGGAGCATAGTGAGAGGGTAAATTAAGGCACTCAAAGCACACCTTAGCAGCAGCACCAGCAGTTTATTTCAATAATAATAAAACATGTCCAATAGATCCCTCCCCTCTTGTACAGACAAGCAGTATTTCATCGGCCATAATTCAGACCTCCCTCTACAAGACTAACCATTGGAATCAGTGAAGTTCAGCAGTGCTCTCGTCCCCTCCTCGAAGACATCATACGGTGACACGTAGCATTGCAATGACAACAGGTGACCTGCAAGGGGTCGCATGCACAGAAAACACATTAAACTGAAAACCACAATTTTTACATTACACAGACACAATTTAAATACAACTGCCATGGAACAGATGTAGCAAAAGCTTATACAGAGGCTTTACATAGGTACATTAGACTCTGGTGCAGAGGGTACCTCCACTGCGAGCTGTCAGGAGACCGACGCTCCCATAAAGGATGGTGTCCAGAGTGTTGGCATTTGTGGCCAACCTATAACACACAGATCAACACACATAGTACTGGTCATGGGACAAACTGGCAACAAAATAGCAGGAAAATGCAGACATGGGGATCAGACCTGAACATGTGCATCATCTTTGTGAGGTCCAGCTCCAGGGACTGTAGGGTCAGGTACATCTTTGTCTTAAGCTTGCTGCAGACCGAGAGTGAATGAGGGAGAGAAAAGATATGATGTCACTGACAACCTGCACTGTGTACACCCAGTTTCATACCTGTGACAGTGTCACCCCCCCAGCCCTTAATCCATTAAATTCCCCACCAGTAGAAATCATATTTGCCAAAGAATATCTGCTGTGATGTGTAGCTATGAGGTATCAGACATCACAAAAACACATCCGTTAGACCGCAAAAGCATTTTAACAGAAACATCACCTATACAGCGGACACCTATACACATTTAAAGAACACTCTTATATCGTCATGTTTTTCCCCCCGTCTTGGCCTTCCATCAGTGACCGGTTTACACTATTTTTGTTAAAAAGCTACATACAGAAGGAAAAGATGACAATCTACGTGTACTACACACTAGTCTATTACTGAGAAGTGAGGCTTGCATCATATGAAAAGCAATCCTGTTTCCATCATAATCTGAGACCACCAAAATGTGTTTCTCAAGCTTGGCCCTGGGATACCAGTGACAGGTGGTTTTAGCTGAAAAATTAGGCGTTATTGAAGTCTACTCACAGGATTCCATTTTTTTTTTGTAAAGACAATTCTGAAACTTTTATAATGAGATAAATCAGAAAAGAATACATTCTTCGGGTGGGCCAATCCACATTTTTCTTGTTACGATCCAATTCCAACACACAACTGCCAATACCGATACAGATTCCAATACAAGAGCTCCTTTTACTTTAATACTCTAATATAATAAATACATATAAATATTTATATTTTATATACACCACCGTTCAAAAGTTTGGGGTCACTTGTCCTTGTTTTCCATTAAAACTTACATGAAATGAGTTTGAATAGGAAATTCAGCCAATATATAGGAAATAGTTATTGACAAAGTTAGAAATTATCATTTTTGAAATTAAAACAGTTGTCCTCTTCAGAACTTGCTTTTGTAAAAGTGTCCTCCATTTGCAATTACAGCCTGGTAGACTTTGTGCATTCTAAATGTCAGTTCGTTGATATAAACTGACAAGTAACTTCAAATAACATTTTGAGGGATAGCCAGCATGGATTTAGGAGAGGTAGATCCTGTTTAACAAATCGGTTGGAGTTTTTTGAGGAAGCTACTCA